CTACCTACCACCGGAGTTACAGGGCACTGTCTAGCTTGAGAGGGGTACTTTGCACTTTCTCTGGTCCTCTCCGGGTACATGCTAAAGAATATGTCTCATTTGATGAGATCCGTAAGCTCCTGTTTCCCTGCAATATGGTACCAACAGTTTGTTGCTCCCACCAAGTCGAACTGCGCCCACTTACAGGCAAAGCCATTCAGTTCATAAAGCCTTTTTCGAAACCGTATGTTTCATCGTTTCATAGGGGGTGCACATGCGTGGAGCACAAAGGTGTCCTCTGGTGTTGGTATGCCAAGATAGCCATTGTGAACAGGTATGCCAACAAGGGATAACAGAGGTACTGGCGAGTTCTATGACATAATCTGTTTCAAGAGAAACAGGTCCCGCCATCTCCATGTTGGGGAAAAATTCTTGCAAAACACGACTACCCCCCATCCCTCCGCAAAACTTCCCTCTCCGATGCGACTCCAATGCTCAACTTTAATAGCAAAAATCGTTGTTTAGCAGTACCGTCAATACCGGTCAACCAGAGAGGTAGGGAAGGGCACAGTGGGCGTGAAAAGGGGAATCAACATTCAGAAAGAATAATTTCACTCAGGAAAGTACGCACCTTCTCTCACCTGCGGCGAAATACGACCATAACGGAGCTGAGCCCTCGGCAGGAAGGGCTTAGGCCTTTTTGAAAAAAAGAATCGCGTGTTTCCGAAAGGTTTCCTGTTCAGACAGAGGGTTCTTATATGTAGTCTCACATGCAAATAGTAAATACAGCATTGCAGAACTATGTCACCAGAGGATCCGAACCATTATACTGCTGTCCACCCATTTTAGATTTTCTAACAGCAGGAAACTTCAATCTCTTTTCCATGTACTTTTCCGTCATACAATAGCTGTTTTGAAAATGCGTTCCATTGAAAGACCCCCTCTTACTATCGCGCTGTTACACCCATTGAACGACGAATTCTGTCGGTCTACAGACATCTAAAACTCATTTCCTTTAATGAAGCCAAGTTCCTGTTTTTCTCTGCGCTCTCACGTCTGCATGGCGTTCTGTGAGCGCACTTACCTTTCACATTCAGACTTTTCACGCATAACGAGTGGCTCATCCACCTTGATATCCGCTTTCTTTGAAAAAAATAATCTAATGGCTCGCGACATTTTTTTTGCATCTTAGATGCCTTGGCGACAGCAGTTCTTTATCGCTCTGCTCTCTAGCCTTTCCCGCCAGGACCCCCATCAGAAGTTTTGATTGTCGCATAACCAATTCTATCCATTGCTGACGTTCTTGGACAATTTTTTTCGCGCTCGTTCCTTGAAAAATGGGTCGATGCGAAAGGGTATGACATCTCCGCTGTTAAGCTTAGTCCACACACTACTTCAGCCCGATCCTTTCAATCACGTCAACTTTATGTTTCTCTCTCTCCTTTCTTCTCTCCCTTTCTCGCGTAGATGGCGTTTTACGATCCCTAAGTCTCAAATACTCCAGCTTTTCACAGATGATGAACGGATTACCAACACAAGAGTATGCTCCTCTTGAGAAAGCTCGTTCACACGTTCTTCACATCTTTCGATGCCCTTGGCGTCGCTGCCCTTTAGCTGCTGCATATAGGGTTTCGCAGAAGACCATCCACAAGAGTAATCACGTAACTGTAATGCAGATCTCTCACTTCAGCTATCACAGGAGTGCTGAGTGAGTTATGGGCAAAAACCAGACCCCAGACGGAACTCGAACCCGCACCTCACGCTTTCCTGACAAGTACTTCATACGTCACGCCATCAGGGCTCTCTGGTGGGCGTCACGTGCGGCGTTGCGCCCGCAAATGACGATGGTTCCAGGTAGTACATACGTAGCGACAACAGGCAATTCAGAACCGAAAATAGTCATGCATGTCTACGATGACGGGGTCTACATGGTCCGGTGCTCCAATCGACAGCTTGACACGAGTTAAGAAAATGTCGCGCAAACCGTCGCGCGCGGCGGAGCGGCGAACCACGAATCTCTTGCTCGTCTCCCGGATTTTGTACCATGTACCAGCACTCACATCTTTTATGTGATGAGCCGGCTGGCCGATTTCGGCAATGAATAGCAAAACTGAGTGCTTGTCGTTTCCAAGTTGTTTTATTATGATTACCGCTCTTGAACGTCGCAGTTCTACTTCCGCAAGTTTTCACAAGAATGCACTTGCTAGCAATTCTTGGTCCCAGGCGAGACTTGGGCCGAGGAGATAAGAGGGACTCTGGTGGTTATTGCGTAGCGCATTCGTCCAGAAAGCGTGAAGTGCACGTTCGAGTCCCGCCTGGGGTCAAGACATTTGCGCGTAACTCAGCATTTTTTTGAATATCATCTGAAGACGAACGCAGTTATCAAATCAAATATTAAATAGCAGTTATCATAATAATACAACATGGAATCA